ACCCGGGTCCTGGCGGCCGGAGTCACCGCGTTCCGAAGGCTGGGGCCTGCGGGCCTTCCTGGTCGGCTCTTTGGTTGCCCGCTTCTCATTGGCTACTTCCTACTCAGGGGGCGGGCCCTAGTTCCCATTCGTCCAATGAAAAGTGCAGGTACTGAAGCTCTGACTTGGAGAGTTTAGGGGGTTCTTTTGAGAGGTTGAATTAATGGGAGGCCGAGGCCCGTAGATTGGGACAGTGATGCTCCCAAACCTCTGGGGAATTAATAGTAATAAATTAAACCTGAGTTTGTTGACCGCCTACTATGTGCCAGGTTCCGTGCTAAGAGCTTTACCAGCCTTATCATTTAATCATCACACCACCCTGTGAGCTACGTATTGTCATCCCATTTGCCAGAGGAGGAAACTGAGGCCTAGATTGGTAAAAGAACTTGACCAAAACCTCACAGTTTGTGAGCGGGAAAGCCAGGATTCAAACCCGGGACTGTCTGGTTTCAGAGCCTGTGCTGTTTCTACTACTGAATGCCGGCTGTATGCAAACGGGAAGGGAGGGCAGTAGCCCGTTATTTCCCACATCACCGTGCCCAGCCGGTGCCAGGCACGGAATAGCTTTGGGTAAGTAGATGAGTGAGTGTTTATGTGAAGAGAGGCCTACGCTTCTCCAAGGCAGGGACCAGACTTTATCCCAGTTTCCCCAGCCTAGCTAAAGCCTGGCACACAGTAGGTGCTCTGTAAATGTGGAGAAACTGCTAAAGGTAATGAACAGGAGGTCAGAGTACTACATGCCAAAGAGGAGCCCATGTATGTGGTTCAGACTAGGGCTCTCCCCTGGCTCAGCCCTGTACAGGCTGTGGGATAGTGAAGAAGTTGCTTAACCTCTCTGAGCCACATCTGCAGAAGACAGAGGTTTCCACTTGTGCAGAAGGCTGATGATTACAGACCTGGAAAGGATTGAATGACATGTTTATATGCTCTGTCATGCAGTAGAATGCTGGGCCCTGGCGTGTTCCAGGACTTGGTTGTTATGTGCCTAGAACAGGGATTGGCAAACTTTTCCTCCAGGGACCATGTGGTAAATATTTTAGGCTTTGTGGGGCCCTATAAGGTCACCGTCTTTTTTGTTTGATTTTTTGACAGTCTTTTAAAATGTATGTGACCACTCTTAGCTCACAGGCTATACTAGACAGGCTGCAGCCCTGCCTAGATGGTGCAGGGACCATAGAGGGCCACAGTGGGAGGAACACACTCCGATCCCCCCACTTGCTGTCTGTGTGATCTTGGGCAGGTCACGTCATCCCTCTGTGCCTCAGTTTCCTTCTGTGTAAGATGACAAAGTAATAGCACCCACTTCCCAGGGTTGTCGTAGGGTTAAGTGTGTTAATTTATGTGAATGCAGCAGCACCTGGCTTCGAGTAAGAGCCGTGTGCGCTCCAATCATTACAGTGAATTAGCGGGCCATACCTGTTATTTCTGAGAGGGAGGGGACAGCCCTGTAGTCTGAGAGGGCTCCCCAAAGGAGGCATCTGGGTTAGCTGTGCTGGGACTAAGGGGTCTTGGATGGGCAGAGAGGAGGCAGGCACAAGAGAGACCAGAGTTGGGTAAGGGTGATGGGTCAGAAAGCGGATTAAGGAGAGGAGGGCAGGGCATCTTAGAAAAGTCTAGTTGCGATGGGCTCTCTAGAGTTAATTTCCAGGGCTTGGAATGACAGGCCCTGACGATGATGATGATGATATCACCACCTCTGTGCTGGGCACTGTTCTGAGCTTCACACTTGCTTGTTTAGTCTTCACAACACCCTGCGAGGCATATGCTCTCGTCACCCGTTTCCCAGATGTGGGAACACAGGCTCCGGGCAGATTAAGTCCCTTGTGTGGGGTCTCCCAGCTGGCAAGTGACAGAGTTGGGACTGAAACCAGGCTGTGTGTCTGCCCCTCCGCCCTGTCCTGGCCCCGTCAAAGGGGAGCCCTGTAGCAGGGACGTCGCGTGATCTGGCAGGGGAGTCATTGACTAGTATGGGGTGCAGACCAGCTGCAGGACAGCCCCCCTCCCTGCCCAGTGGTCTGGTGGTACCTGGAGTGATGCTGCCTCTCTGCTCCTCCCTCCAGCTGGGACCTGGCAGGCCCCTGCCCACCTTCCCCACCTCGGAATGCACCTCGGACGTGGAGCCGGACACGCGGGAGATGGTGCGAGCCCAGAACAAGAAGAAGAAGAAGTCGGGAGGCTTCCAGTCCATGGGTGGGTGCTCCAGGCATCTGGGGAAATTGGGGTGGGGGGTGGGGTAGCAGCAGGGCGTCACCACACCCTCTGAGCTCTGCTCTGGGCCCAGCACTGGTAGGTATTGGGCACACTGAGGCAGCAGACACTGTCTCAGAGCCAGTCAGGGCCTCATGGGGGCAGCGGGCCTGACACAATGAGAGAACAGTTAGAGCAGGACTCGGGGCGATGCCGGTGCAGGAACAGGCCAAGACATTTGGGGATTTAGTGCCTGACAATAGCATTTCAGAGCAGCGGGGAAAGATGCGATAGTCGGGTGCGTGGGGGCTCCCTCCACCCCTGGTCATTCCCGTGTCTTTCCCAGGCTTGAGCTACCCGGTGTTCAAAGGCATCATGAAGAAAGGCTATAAGGTGCCAACGCCCATCCAGAGGAAGGTACGCGGCGGGCAGGGCTGGTGGGGTTGGAAGGAGGGGATGAGGGACTTGGCCTTCTCTCAGCCTCTTGATAGACACCCCTTGTCCCAGCTGTCACATCTACTGTCCCTCTTATTCTGAAGCCCCACAAGCTTGCCTGTTTCACGGGTCGGGGAAGTTGGGCACAGCAGAGAGGAGATGCGACCCTGTGTCTCTTTGCCATTTAAGGCTGTTCCCTGCTGAGGCTGCGCAGTGAGGAACAGTGGTCAGGGAGGGTAGAGTCTGGCTTAATCTGAAGAAGGATGTTCAAACCATGGAAAGAGTTGGGGGTGGTGAGCTGTTCGTCCCTGGAGGTGTGCAAACGAGCGTTGGCAAAAATGGGATCGGGGCTGGGCGACAGGCCCCTTCCCCCTCACTGAGGTCCCCTAGTTCCACTGGGAACTCGAAGCTCTGAGGCAGGAGCTGACCCCGCCCCGCCCCTCCCCTCCCCATTCGTCTCCAGACCATCCCCGTGATCCTGGATGGCAAAGACATGGTGGCCATGGCCCGGACGGGCAGTGGCAAGACAGCCTGCTTCCTTATCCCCATGTTCGAGCGGCTCAAGACCCGCAGCGCTCAGTCGGGGGCCCGTGCCCTCATTCTCTCGCCCACCCGGGAGCTGGCTCTGCAGACCATGAAGTTCACCAAGGAGGTGTGTCAGGGTTGGGGAGGGGGGA